GATACTAATTATGGTCTAGAAAAAATTTAGTTCCTTTGGCCCCTCCTCTATTTGGGGGCTTTCTAGAAGTGACAGTCATTGGGACGAAAGATCATACATACCGTCTCCTCCAGCTTTTCACTCTGGTACATGGCAGCTTTCAGAGTCCTGGTTATTGTCTCTTCTATCTAAACTATGTCCTTGGTGTTGAGGAAGTAGATTAAAATCTACTTCCCTCGTTTCAGTGTCAGGAACAGGGAGTAGCCAGTTATAAATGATCATTCTTGAGGCCTGGAACAATTCATTCCCTAATCTTCTCTACTTCAGGCTATGTCTAGTTCCATCTTTCTGTCCTCTTTCCTGCCTTCCTAGGGTCACTGCTGTTCTCACCTCTCGGGCCACTGACAACACTCCCACCACCTTATCTCAAGATAGTGTCACCTTAGTGTCCTATTTTAATGCCCTGTTTTCAGTATAGTTGGCTCACTGGAAATCTCTGGTGATCTGATTACCCAGCTCATGGACTGCCCAAGTCTTCTGCTCATTTTTGTTTGGTTTTTGATAACCAAATATCTGTCTTTTGATCTTTTCACAGCTTAATACCCTCAAAGAAAATGTGCAGAAATTAGCCAAGAATATAAAACTCAAACCAATCCATTTTGTACTCATTAGAAGCTTTGGTGGACATAGATGGACACCCTTGACTCTGTAAAGTTCATGGATTCACTGTGGCTTGTTCCAAGATGCATGAGTTCTTAACATTATACAAATCAGCGTTGTAGAAACTCCAACCATTTTATTTTGGTGCTAGAATTTTAAAATTTCTTTTTAGCCACAAGAATTATGCAAGGAGGATCTGCCCTGTGGATCATAAAATTTGAATACTCTAATCTATAGAACCATTAACCACAAGAAAAGACCTAGCTTAAACTAGCTGTCTGAGAAAACTTTCTTCTAAAATGCAAACGTATCAATAACGTATCCTGAGATATCACAATATCCTCTAGATGTCACCTTGAGAACATTCCAGGATGGAAGATGATTGCTTTTACACCACACAGACATCGTGAAATAGACATATTTAAAACTTTGCAAGCCTGGATCAATGGGCTTATTAATAAAACTCTTTTTTTTTTTTGCTGACTACCTTAAAGAAAAAGTGCTCTACCTTAAGTTTAACTCATAAAATGATCTAATTTCTTTTCTGGCAGATTTTCTTTATGGCTTTTCCCTCCAACAGAAACAAAAACCAAAATCTTCCTTTAAGAAGTATTTTTCATAGATCCTGATTTCTCTTGAATCCATCTTTCTCACCAAGGTTCTCCCCAAAACATTTTCCAAATTCTAAAGCAACTCATCTCATTACTTGAAGCATGTAAGGGAGGAGAGCGTAGCAAAGCTTAGAGGCAGAAATTAGTTATTCTGAAACATTAAAAACATTAATTATGGATGATTACCTGATTGTTTTTCTTTAATATGCCAAGTCTAGAGCAGACCAATAACTGACTGACTCATCTGGTTATGCGGTCATTCAAACCAAATGAGCTGTCAGGTAATTCATTAAGGATTTTAAACACCTGCGTGCATTAACTCAACCTGAAGACTGGGGAGGATACAGAGGAAGACTTACAATTGACTTCAGAGAGGTCTGGATTATCTCAGGTGTTATTTCCCTTAATACAAATAGACATAGCCTCGGGGCCTGATTTTCAAAAATATAAAAAAAAACCTAGGAAAATCAATCACTTTCTTGTAAAGAAATTAGTCTGTACTATAGAGAAGGTTTGCAGAATCTGTCTCATAGGATTTCTAAAAGGATCTTTTCTAACAACCAAAACTTACCCTTCCAAATAAGAGACTCCCAAAGACCAAGAAACACAGAGATAGGAAGAATAAGACCTAACCAACCCACACTACTAAAATTACATGTGGTACTCTGCAGCACAGGATGCGAGGTCTACTAAGGACCATCGCTAACAATCCCACGGCTGGGTTATCCATCTCCTCTGGACTATGGGCAGGATTTGAATGTGCTCCCAGATTACGCCTGTATAACTGCCAAGACTGTGTGTGGATGCAGGCCACTGCCACAGAAAGGAAACTGAAAAACAACTTGTGCTGGAGTGCTGAAAGAGTTCTTTAAAAATAACCTTCATTCTCATAGTTCCATGAGAACTTGCTTCTAAATACAAACACCATTTCCCTGTGGAGATCTGTATTCTCTTTAGAAGAACGAAAAAGGGAGAAGGATGCTTATCAACCTTATAATAAGGATACATGGTACAATCACCACTCAAGGCCAATTCCAAATTATTTTCCCCAAAATATAAAGATCATTTCAAAATAGGGAAGATATCTTACTTATGCAACATTCCCAAATTATACTATTCAGGAACTATTAGCAATTATATAAGTCTTGATGCAGAAAAAAACATATTAAGCAAAATTCCAGAATAGGAAAAAATATGCTCGGTATTTCAAAACATGTTTATAAATTAGAGATGTACTCTGACACCTTCTTAAATATTGCTAGGTGAAGCGTTAACAGCAGCAGTTCTAAACTCTCAAAATTTAAACTTAACAGTTTTCCCTGGAAATAATAAAATTTTTGAAGAATAAAATTATATTTAATGAGAAATTTATAGACAAAGAATCATGCGTCCAGTGTTTTATATCTTGACTCTATACCCAAAGGTTAGAATATTGATTCTCAAAAATACTTCAGGTCTTTTTCTTTCTATTGTAATTTCTTGCCAGAAATGACAGTTTCCATTTTCATCTGATCTCACTCTTGCCCAATGATAAGCATTTACAAATACGTAGTTACACACAATTAAAAATTTATGATTACATGTAAGGGTGCTAACGGGAACTGATCTCCAACCAATCAAGATTAGGAATAAGTCATTGATGAAGCAAGATTGTAAATCACTTTTTAAAACTAAATTGGCAATCACCTCTTTTCTCTCAAGATCTAAATTATAGAACAGAGCTAAACAAAATTTTACAGTAAACCATTTGTTTTAAAATCGTCTACTTTTTCAGAAATCGGGGCAAAAGGAACATAGGTGACTCCCAGAACTAATCTTCTTCTATTCACACTCTACTTATCATCCTCTGACAGAGAACCCCTTAGGGTTCAGGCACCAAAACAGGTTAGATAAATGGCTATTTCTAAACCAGAGAAAGGATGAGGAGCTGCCTCTTTGGTGCTTAAAGTGAGCCTCCATCTCTGTCTAATAGGCTGCTCACTCCCGCTTCCCTGAGGAGTTAAAACCAGTCACTCCAGGCTCAGAGACGTAATAACTGCAACAGCAAGCGGTTTGTGGGATGGCCCATATTAGCTCAGCACTCAGACCTCAGATACACTTTAGGCTGCTCTGTCCATGGGGTCAAAAAAAACAGGTCGAGGAAAGAAAGCCAGATGCAACCAAAAATCAAGACCTGACAGGTGTGGTCAAAGAGGAAAGAGAAAGGATTCAAATTTAAAAGCAAACCAGATCAACACAGCACATTAAAAGACACTTAGCAGGACAAAAAGTATTTCTCACTATTCTAAAAGCACCCTTGTCATTTAATCCAAGACCAAGGAAAGCCCATGAAAGTAGAAAGCAGTGTGTGAAGCAACACCAAGCAAGGCTCAGCCATCTGTCTGACTTGCGCAAGCTCTCCCTGAAGTAAACAACCCAGGTGAACAGGTAAGGTGGTTGCCTTTATCTGAATCACTGCGAAGGAGGAACTGTGACATTAACCTTGTACTACTTGGGAGACATTTCATTTGCCAGGTTTACTGTCACCAGGAGGGAAAAGTATTTCAAATGGAAGGCAGTGACCCTGTAAGGGTCATCATCAATCACCTGGGGTCAAAGACCTTCCCAATTGTCAGAAGAGGCAGGGGGTGAGGGAAAGGGGGCAGAGAAAAGATCAAAAGGCCTTTGATGGCGTTTATCTATTACACAATAGGACCTGCAAAGTGGAACTTCTCTGGAGTTTGAAACCTAGTTTCTAAGGTGAGAGGTTTCAAAGGGTTCCCCCACCCCCACCCCCTTTAACTTCGGTGCTTAAGATGAAGACTGGAATCACCAGATGGCAGAAGAGGCCTAGAGGCACAGGTTCACTGGCCGTGTGCTTCAAAGTCTGTCTCTGCAGAGGACTAAATACTATTCTTGTTCTTCTAGAGCAAGAACAGGTAAGAGAAAGGAGGGAAGACCCCTCTAGCTTTGTAGTTGCCAACTGGCAAAGGGCTCAGCTTGAACTGCCTTGCAATGCTGTATTTTAGGTGATGTAAATACACTTGCTTTTCTCTTTGTAGAAGGCAATCACAAAGAGAGAGGCTGGGAAGGAAAGTCAGGTCTCTTTAGGCCAATGCTGACAGAAAGCAGTCGGAGCCTCTGTGTTCTTCTATCAGTGACGACATACTCTTTGCTACTGTTGACCTTGCTTGATGAATGGACCTGAGATGATTAAAGGAGCAGCTGGTCCAGAAGGCCCACCTGGCTAGAGTGATGTGTGAATCAACTCCATGGGGTGCAGAGTCAGAGAAGGAGCAACTTCAATGCAGAGAAGGAGCAACTTCAATGCAGAAAGAAGCAGTAAAGGAGGGCTCCACCGAACCCTTGGTTATTCACTCGATAGACTTTCTTATGGTGTATTCAAGAGGAATCGCTAATCCCAGTAGGCCCTGTCCTGTCCCTAGGACGCCTGTCCCTATTAGCTGGTGAATGGAGTTATTTTAAGACACAAACAATAGGATACTTTTGAAAACGCAGTAAAGATGTTCATAAACATAATTATTTTAAGAAATAAAACATGCTTCACGGCAATATAAATGGCTTTCAGATTATGGGCTGTTTTGATTAGCCATACCCTAGATGCCTGCAGCCTACTCCCATTAGCATGGATAATTGTGAATCCACTGTATTTACATTTTCACGCAGTCTCTCTAATACATTTCAGGCACTTAGATGGAAAACTAAATCTCCATTATTTCACCTTACAGGAATTTCGCACATGGCACTAACCTCTGTACAGTCCAAAGAAGCCTTCATAGCGTAGCACTTTCTTAAAACAGTCAAAGCTGTTTTTATACATAAGTTCTCCCACAAAAGAGCCAGTTGATCGTTGGTTCTGCATTCGAGTTTTTACAAGATCAATAGGATACACAGCAGTGGCTCCCACAGCTAAAATTAAATAACATCAACATTTCAGAAAGAATTAAGGTCTGTCAAAGGAAAGAGAGTTAATGTCAAGGAGAAGGCTGGTAAAAGGAAAAAAACAAATTTTGAATGTACAGATTTTAAAACTATACTAACTTAATAAACAACTGTGGCTTTTTATTCAAGTGTCTCCTGTTAAAGGATGCCTTAGACACTAAAAAAAAAAAAGTACATCACTACATCCTAACCTCATTATTAACCTGTCTTCAGAAAGCCTATTTGCAGATAAATAAGAGAAAAGAGCCACTCAAAAAACACTGATCTTGTGCAGGTATGGGAAAGAAGTCCCCTTTGCTCTTCTTCCATCTCATAGGTGCAGACAATAACTGGCTTAGGGAGAGACTAGAGAAGGCTTTGTCCTTTAATATTTCCAATAAGATAGAAAATCAGAGAAAAAATAAGAAAAATGAAAACTGTGCACTCATCCATGACTTACCTCCAGCAATGGAACCCAGACCAAATCTGTAGGCTGACTCTGCAACCTGTAGGAGAACTGGTCGAGATGAATCGACTGAGGCCTTCTTCTTTGTATGCACATATTTTGGAGAGCAGAAAGATGGGAGATAAAAAAGAACAAAAATGAGCACATATTATTTTAAAAATTATCCGCTGGTTTCTAAATTCATGATACAACTAAAATGTCCAAGGGGAAGATAGGGTTAGAGACACTAAGTTTTTATTAATAAAAAGTTATTATTGCTATTAATGTTTAAAATCAAATCTGAACACAATGAAAGCCATTATGTACCAAAAACTGTTATGAACCTATTTTCAAATGTTCGATTCTCATTACTGATCAAAAAGATATAGATTTTAAAATATTAATGGGATATCATTCTTCATCAAGAATATTGGTAGGTTTTGGGCTTGTTTTTATTTGTTTGTGTGTTTGTTTTTTTAATGACAATATCCAGCCTGGCAAGAGTTGATGAAAACAGGGCTTCTCAAATCAGGTGTTTAATCAAGTATAAACTAATAGGAAACTTAGTTCTAAATACCTGAACCCTTAAAATGTATGTAACTTCTGACCTTATAGTTTTACCTATAAAGAGTTAGGTTAAAAATAATTGTGTATGGAAAAAGGATCAAGCTACAAGAATGTTAAAAAGTAGTACTGTTTGGCCTTGCAGACTCTGCTGTCCCAGAGCCATTTGCTCCCAGCAATGTTCAACTCAACCGTGTTCTTTGACATCACGGTTGATGGTGAACCCTTGGGACGCGTCTCCTTCGGGCTGTTTGCAGACGAAGTTCAAAAGGCAGCAGAAGAATTTTGTGCTCTGAGCACTGAAGGGAAAGGATTTGGTTATAAAGGTTCCTGCTTTCACAGAATTATTTTGGGATTTATATGCCGGGGTGGTGACTTCACAAGGCATAATGGCACTGGTGGCAAGTCTATCTATGGGGAAAAATTTGATGATGAGAATTTCATCCTGAAGCATACAGGTCCTGGCATCTTGTCCATGGCAAATGCTGGACCCAACACAAACGGTTCCCAGATTTTCATCTGCCCTGCCAAGACTGAATGGGTGGATGGGAAGCATGTGGTCTTTGGCAAGGCGAAGAGGCATGAATACTGTGGAGGCCCTGGAGCACTTTGGGTCCAGGAATGACGAAGACCAGCAAGAAGATCACCATTGTTAACTGTGGACAACGCTAATAAGTTTGACTTGTTTTATTTTAACCATCAGACCATTCCTTCTGCAGCTCATGAGAGCACCCCTCATCCCAGCTGCTCGAACACCCTATAATCTCTGCTCTCGCTGGGTTCTTTGGGTTCCGGGTTTTCCTTGTCCCTCCAAATCCAGCTGGGTTGCAGAGTTAAGTTTATGATTATGAAATAAATGCTAAACAAACAAACAAGAAAAGCAGTACTATTTTATAACAGCAAAAACTCTGACAGTAACCTAAATGTCCAATAATAGAGGACTGGTTAAATATAATGCTATAGCCTTAAAACTAAATAGTATGTCACAAAAATGATATAGCAAAATAATATTTGTTATTAAAAATGTTCATATAGTATAAGTGAAAACAGGTTAAAAATATGGTGGGTACATAGGTATTTGTAATATGATTCTCTTTACCTTTTAAAATATTTGAAATCTTTCACAATCTTTAAAAAACAATGTTGAAGACTGTGCAATGTTATTTTTATTAAAACTATTTGTGGGTATATATATGCATATAAAAATAATACTAACATTCGGCTACCCTACCATCAAGAGATATTAAAAATGTTTACAGTGGCTACAACTAGGTAGTTATATTATTGTTACTTTTTCCTCTTTTTTGGTCCATCTTTTCTAAAGTCATATTTCGGGCCAGTCATTGGTTGCATTTCTCTGTCTACAAGAATAAAATTGTAATTTTCTGTCTATATAGAGTTGTCAAATGAGGGTGGCATGAAGCTTAATAAATACCTGTTGAATGAATAAAAACATTCAACAAAATTTGCTTTTTCAAAAGCTGTAATAATTAAAATCAATGAACAATGAAAATAATTACCAACCCCAGCTAACAACCCACTGAATTTTAGCTGTTGTCAATGTAATACAATTGTTAATACAATGAGATAATTTGGAATCTCCTTTCAAGTCATTTCACTGAAAATAGCTTTACACAGAAATACACATCTTTAAGAATGTAAAACATTTCTTCTGCAAATTGCATGGGGTGTTTCCAATTCCATTCCTATATCGATGGACATCAACAGTAACTTCATTTTGCCAGATATATCCACGAGAAAGGCACTGTTTTATTTATATGAATATAGATATGCAACACAGATGAACAAACAAAACAAAAAGTCTCATAGAAACAAAGAACAAACTGATGATGATTGCCAAGGGCGGGGAGTTTGGGATGGGTGGAGAGATGGGTGAGAAAGGTGAGGGGGAATATGGTCCAAAACAGTGTAATAACTGCAGGGCAGTGGATGGTTTCTAGACTTCCTGTGGTGAGCATTCTGTAAGACACGTAAATGTAAAGTCGCTACATTGTACACCTGAAACTAATATGATACTGTATGCCGCCTATAATTTTAAAAAGACAAAAAATATGCAATACTTAGAAAGGTTCTGACATAAAATCACAAGTGAAAATACTTTGAAAATAATGAGGGGAGGGTGGCTACCACTATCACTAACTCATCATTTAAAAGACGAAATAAATGAAACCCCAGACTTTTATTTAACTTTTCTGAAGCTAGAAATGTAGCATGCTCACGAAGAGACAAGAATGATTCCCACTCCTATACTATTTTGTTGAGGATAAATGTCAGCACTGAGCCTATCAGGTGGATTCACCTCCATTGCTTGAGTCTTTCTATGTTGTCTGGCCCATTGGGGTTCACAAAGTAAAGAATATTCTGGGTAAGGGCACTGTGAATTGCTCTAAAGCTTTAAGAGGCAGCCAATCATTTCCCACTGTAAATCTCATCAATCTCCTCTAACCCTTTCATGGCCAGTGTCACCAAGCACTCATCACAAACTTTCAAAAGCTTCAGAGGGCATAAAGGAAAAATCGTGGGATACCACTATCAAATGGGGGAGGAGGGGGAAATCTGGAAAAAAAAAATCCTTGCTTTTTTTAACCCCCCAATTTCTCTAACAACTAGTAGCACAGAGATACTTGTAAGCAGTGTTTTAAAATCAAAGGGAGGGTGGAGCGACGCTGCTTCCACCTCTGCACGTGATTATACAGCTCTCTCCTGCTCTCGCGGAAATCGGCTTCCTCTTTTAACGACGGCCAGCTGGTCTTCCAGAGGTGCCTGGTTTAGGATTTACTGAGCACACACCCACCACTTTGAGTTACACGCTGCACACAAAACTCGCCGCTGCATTTGGGTGGGGAGGAGCTGGAAGGAGGGGGTCCTGGCTCGAGGCCTGCCAGTCCTAAAAATGTAGCCCGCATCAACCCATTGTGGTCAAACTGGCGTCTCTGTTCAGACCCAGAGCTCCAAGCCAGAAACTGTTAAGTCTCACAGGATTCAGAGATGACTGTGCCTTAAAGGAGGTATTTTTCTAAAACGACGCTCATCTGTGAGTGGATTTATTTTACAAACATCACGTGAGGACAGCCTGTGCTACAAAGGCTTTGATTCTCATCCTGATCTACAGAAAGTTGAGCGAGAGTTAAAACGAGGAGGTCCCATGTCTTAAGTTTCTGACTGCCACAACTGCGAGAGATTGGTTTCTGTTAACCATAAAATAAAATTTAGCATTCCTCAAATTGTTTCCACATAACTTATGAATCCTTTCACAGAGAAAATAGATCTAAAAACCTTCAAACTATGACTCCAGACTAAACAAAATTATCTCATTTTGATATTCAGAAAAACGGAAGGCATGGCAGTGAGACGAGGAGCTGACAAAGTACCTCCTTGCGGAAAAGAGACGGCTTTCATTTAGCAATGTGCCACTTTGCTGGGACAGCGACACCGAAAGAGAACTCCTGCCCCGCAACTCTCAGCTCAGATTTAGGGAAAAAGAAGGGATCTTTTGCCTATTTTTGGAGGGTTAGGCTTCCAATGAGGTTAGGACGTCACCTCATCCAGAATAAGCAAAAATGTTAGCTATCTGTTAATCAGAACATCTCTAAGCCATTTCTCTTTTTAGCCTTTTGAAATTGTCTAGATTTTTGATGCAAAATGGAAAAACGGTAGGTCAGATACCAGTGCCAGAAAGGCAACTGCAAGTGAAAAAGATTTGGGGGTTCCCCAACTAAAGAAACAGCAGGAAGCAAGTTTGCTTTTTCTGCCCACCTGCCTCTGGGCCTCAGCCAAGTTGAAGGGCAGAGTTTCCTCTTCCAGAGGAGCAATTCGTTCAATGTCTGCTAAGGTCATACGTCTGGAAGGAAGGAAGGAAAAACAACAACAACAACAACAACAAAAACAAACAAGCATAAGCAACAACAAAATACAAATTTATTAAAATTTACATTATGGCATTTTAAAACAATCCCTCATTTCCCATATTTCAGAGTCGTCTTTCATTTGGCTTTTTTTTTTCTCCCAGTTCACTGCCCTCCTCCTACCCCCACCTCCTAACCTCCTTTTATTAAGCTAATTAAAAAAAAAGAAAAAGGCCAACTTACCCCCGTGGCTCATATAAATCTGCTAACTGAAACAAGATGTCAACTTCCATGGGTGTAACCTGACCAAATTTCTGAGCTGCCAGAACAAACTCCTCTGTATGGAAAAAGAGTTAAAAGGGGAAAGATTCGAAAAGGGAATAGTCACTAAATGCAGCATTAACTCAAGGCACTGGAATGAGTGAACATCATACAATTTAATTATTATCAGTCGTAGAATTCAAGTCAATCCAAATAGAGTAAGAGCTTTTGCACGTCTTCTGGACAGAGAGTGTGCAGAAGTCTCTCTAACATTTGACTTTAAAAGCTTGGTGTCATCTGAAGGCTTTGATAAATGACATGGAATGTTATTCAAATTACAGGTCAGGGAAAGCTAGGAAGCAGATATGAAATATGCACAGGTCCCAGGAGGTTACATTAACGAAGCTGTGGAATTCCTAAGGGAATTTTCTGTTTTTTTTTTTTTTTTTTAAAATCCCATTAAAATGCTAATATCTTGTTCCTTGACTATAGATCAACCTACATTGTCATCAGTATAACTTTATGGAATTCCTCATGCACTTCTGAAGGTGACTTACGAGGCTGTTAATTTTGCTCAGGTTCTAGCAAGATTTGAAAACATTTAAGAAACTTTAGATGGTTCCCTCACCGAAAGACTATCTTTGGTTTATAAAAAACTTGCTAAAGATTGTTTTTGTTTATAAAAAACTTGGTTTATAAAAAACTTGCTGAAGATTGTTTTTGTTTTGTTTGCTTTTGTCTGATTAAACGATGGAGAACACACATATACCATAGAGTTAATAGGTGTCAATGGAATAGAAAAATCTACACTATGACCTCTTGGGTTTTAGTCTTCATCCTAATGATAATACACCAAGATACTTGCAGGTAAAAATTCAGATTTATTCCCACTCACCTTTAGTCACCTCTACATCTTTCCTGTTGCCAGCCAGAGTGCTGTAGATCTTTCTAATGAGTTCCATGTTGTTAAGGAGTGAATTAAATCCATTAAAATAGGAGAAACTAACTTGATGGGATGTGGCACCTCCAGCAGCCTCAAATAAGTTGAAAATAAGAGAAGAGAAAATAAAAACAAAGGATTTAAAGAATGAAGAAGTACATATATTAAATGCTAGTTTTGGAAGTAACCAGGAATGCATGTATAAGAAGAAATAGCCATAAGTGTTTTTCTTTCACATTAAAAAAAAGCTATATATGATTTTTGGAAGTAACTGCAAGTAATCATGACCAGAACTTGTACTCTACACACAGAACCCTAGAAAACTAAATAAATGCATGTGTAGGGTTATAACAACAGGACCAGTAGTAATTTACAGAGTTCAAATTTCCACTGGAAATGTTTTATAAGTTTGTTTATATCATCTAATGAGCAATTCTTAAAGGCTTAGACATGCAAAACTATATTACACACATGTGTGTGCTTATACATGCAAAACTATATTATACAAACACAAACATTCTATAAAAAGCGGTCAATCTAGCATTAATGTCATGATTTGTCATGCTACTTATAACTAGCAATAAATAATCATTTAAGTTCAGACTTTACATTGGTGAGATTTTTCTAGCAAACAAGCATATTATGGTAAAATTATGAGATGTCATATGCTTTGATGGGGGTGAAGACTGGTCAGAATTCTGATAGTCGAAATTTGTAATTTCTTCACAGGGGACAAGGGAAGTAGACAGCATGTCCATTATGAATGGAACTTCAGTTTAGGGTTTCAAATTCTATCCTTCCCTAACAAGGCAAAATGTTTTTATTAGGAAAGCACTTCTTTATAAAGTAACAACCACATAAATCTTCACTTAGTAATCATTTAGAATAGCTGACATGAGAGGTTAGAATGGAGTAGGGAAGGTGTGGGGCGGGGCGGGGGGAGGGGAGCCAAGGAAAGGAGCTAGATTAACACAGTGCCAGAATGGAAAGGCCTTGTCAGAATGCCACATTTCCAAAAAGAGGCACCAGGAAAAAAAAAAGGAAAAAATGAAAACCTAGCCTAAGCTCCTGCCTATGGTAAGCATTGTGAGAAACCCAGATGATGGTGAAAACACTCAAAAAATCTTCTCCCTGGGATGGACAAAAGGCTAGTTACCACTGCATAATGGTTCCCAAATCTGAGTGATCATCAGAATTATCTAGGAAGCTTCAGAAATTATATCCTAGGGCCTGAACGCCTATAGATGGTGAATTGGTAGGCCTGGAAGGAACCTTAGAATCTGTGATTTTTATAATTATCCCCAGTGATTCTTAAGCTCCATGATCAAAGCTTGGGAACCACCACCACAGAATGTTCTAGGACACCCTCAGGAGGCAAGGAGTGGCTGGACATCTACTAGGATGGAAGCTCCATGACATAGGACAGAGGACTCTGCCCATCACGTGTACCACTGCCACTTCAGCACACATGTTGAATCAACAAGAAAATCGAGGGTTTAGAATTTCTGTTTTGTTGACCTTTCAACTATATCTGTATGTACTATTTTTTAAAAAAATTATCACCTTGAAAAACAGATAAAAGCAAAGATTAGCATTTGGCATACTTCAAAATATAAAGCAAAATTAATACATGATCACAAATTTGTTTTTCCTTTAAAAAAAAAAAAAAGCTAATACATTTCTTTAAGATATTCCATATTATCCAGATAGCAAATAAACCTATCCACTAAGACTAGCCAAAATATACTGTGTCTGTAAGTTTGGTAATGTATGTGATCACATTAAAAATGTCAGTGTTTTAAACAGAACAATCTCTAGATAATATGCAAGAATTATTCTTATAATAACTTATTTACTGAGCTCATGCCAGGTACAATAAACTACTTCATTAGGGAAAGTTACAACTTACAGCTACTAGACATTCTTCTACAAAAGGTGTCAAGACATGGGGGCGGATGGTGACCATGATGTCTCGGAAATCAATGGCTGTGACTTTTCCAGTCCTGGCATTGTCCCTTTGCACAAAGGCTTGCTTTGCATGCTCCAATTGTATTTCCTACAAATAAAGAAGGTAAATAATTTGTTCCTCAATTACTACAAATGACTGCTCAATTTTCAATTAGGGTGAAGAAATGTAGATTATATCTTGGTTTAACAAACTCCACCTATTTGTTAAAAAGAACCCTCAAGCTAGTTTCTCCTTCCAAAGAGAGAGCTTTGCTCAGCCCAGTGAACAGGTCTTGAAGAAGTGCATTTCTTAAATCTCCTCCTGCGAAAACCAAATCGTTTCCATGCTCTGCTGGAGTCCAAGGACACCAAGAAAATGAAAACTGGAATGAGCCTAGTTTACTAGGCTCAAAGATCTGGCCAAACCCAGCTTAAGTGATGCAGATGATCAAAGGAGAAACACTCACAAGGATGTTATCTCTCTCCACAGAAGAGAGGAAAATTCTTAATGGCAACCTGGTATACAAAGGTGTGCTGTAACCACAAATTGGAATGTGCTATTCTTCTTGACACTATTGGTCTTTTAGGCAGGATAAGCCTTTGTTATAGGGGTTCTTCCATGCATTCCCCACTCTCTCACTTCCCATTAGATGTCAGTATCCCCTTCGCCCCAAGGCCATGACTCCAAATGTCTCCAGAGAGGGCCATGTGTTCCAATTGAGGACCACTGCTCCAGAATTAGGAATTAGATGGTACGTGGGTCAGAGGTGGCAAAACTGGGGTAGAGTGCCATATGATCTAAAAACAGGAACCCCAATCGTAGATTTGTTGCTAGTCCCAAGGGATAAGTGTATGCACAAAATAAAACATAGCCTCCCATCAAAAGCCATTATGTACCACGTGGAAGCATCCTTTCTGCAGAGAGCGCTTCATTACCTTCTTCATGACACTATTCATTTCCCAAATGACCCCTTAGACTGAGAGCTAATCTCTATGGAATTACAAAACATCACTGATATGGCTCTCAAGGACTTCCAATTAAAGAAAAAGAAGCTTTATTAGATGATATAGAGGAATTAATTTTTTAAAACTGGTGAGATAATGAATTATGGTTGTATAAAAACTAATTGTCCTTATGAACTAGTGCAAAGTGAAGTATGGGAGAAATGAACATGAGTCTGGTAATGCTTTAAAGTATTCTACCTCCCTTCTCTTCCCCTGGAAAGGTGGGGAGGTGAAAAATACTGATAAAATACTGATAATAACTGAAACTGGATAATGAGAACATGGTGGGTCATTATACTTTTCTCTCTACTTTTGTGAAGTTTCAAAGTGTCTGCAAAAAAAATTTGAAAAGACAAAACAATGGTAAGAATCAGAATTCTTATCCTATTCAAAAGCTTCTCAGTTATAGCTTCTTCTAGTTTCGATTCAGCTTGTCCCTCCTGAAACTCTCTTCTGGGGTCTTAATATTTCTAGTGCCTTTTCCATTCACGCCTTAAATTAGGGGCATCTGTCAGCCCTCTGTCCTTAGACTATTCTTTCAGGTCAAGACCTCCCCACCCAAGGCCTCAAAGACTTCTGAGAAGGCTTGCCTCCCAGATCCAAATCTCTCACTCCCATTTGCTGGACCAGAATTTCTAACTGCTTAGAGAACATATCCACGTGGGTATCCTGTAGAAGCCATAATATTACATATCATTAAACTTACTGTTATATGAAACCCACCCAGCCCTCAAAACTAGCCCCTCTCCTATGTTCAAAGCTTCATTATTGGCATGTTGTTTTTCTGGTCACCCAACCTAGGCATCTGTCTGTTTTAATTCTTTAAGCTTCTTTTTCCCCAGAGTAAACCAGAACTTTTGAAAGTTCACCCAAATGCATCTTCTCCTTTTTACTCCTGATGCCACTGTTTCCAGCCCTCCTTAGACCATGCCTGAATGGCCACCATGGGCCCAGCTGTCAGTCTGGAGCTTCCCTCTCACCTCTGCAGTCCATTTTGTACACATCAACAGCTGCCTTTAAGCATCTCAGGTCTGACCTCAATCCCTGTCTGCAGAAACCTTCAACAGCCTTTCATCATAAAGGTCCATCTCCAAAGCAGAGCACTCGAGACCCTACGAGGAGCTGCTCTCCATCTTGCCTCCAGCGCCTCATGGCCAGCCCTGCCAGCCCTTCCACACATCTGGCATTTGTCTACATTCTTTCCTCCATCCAGCAAAAACTATACATGGCCTTTTTCTCTAGCTCCTGAAATCCTACCACTTCCTCCAGGCTGAGCTCAAATGCTACCTCTTAGGTAAATATAATTAGGCCCCCTAACTGAAAATTAATAATCACTTGGTCCCCTGCTTACACTTCAATGATAAAACTTGTCTTATTCCATCTTACATGCCTCTCTTTCTCCCTACCTTGCCAGGGGAAAAAGACTATGCCCTGTTCATCCGTTATGGTGTAGGCAGAATGCTTTAGATAGAGTAGGTATTCAACAAACCGTACACATAATCTTCAGTGACAGGTATTCTAGTTCTCTGTACAAGTGCCTCTGTTTTAAGAGGAAGGCAGAAACCAGCTGTTCAACACCCTATAATGAAGAATGACCACAGTATGTATTCAGGTGAAAGTAAATGAACATGAACTCCCTTGAATTGCCAGATAGCCGAGATCACCCTCAATAATAGTAGAAGGTGTGTTGAGTTATTTACCATTTCCCCTAGTTTATAACTCAGATAGAGTCTTAAGGATCCTGAAATCATTATACTAAAAATGGCATCGCTTTCCCCATCTACCCCATCTCCTCAGAAAGCAGGAAGCTGGAACACTAAGACTAACCTGCCCAGAATGTCAAATTGGGAAACGGACACCAGAGTGGGAGTTGATGCTCACACCGCAAGACAGGGGTGCATTTGTAATGATGATAGGTCACTACACATTTCTGTGCCTACACTTGCACAAGTAAATATTAGCAGTGATCCCTCAATCATGCAACAAGAAGGACTTTTGACTCTAATGATGAACAACTTAAACAGCTTTTAACCCTAATGATGAACAACTTCCAACAGCTCTTAAAGATCGGGGACATTATAAATTCCATGAAAAATAAGGAGCTAGATCTATGTAGTTGTCTAAATAATAGGATAGAGTGAAAATACTTAACTAAGTGCTTCCCCAAACTTAAAAGTAGCTTACTAAAGATGTGGGCTACCTTCTGAAGAACACTTATGTTGTGCCTGTTTCTTGTTCTGGGTGAAGAAATGAAACTATTACCTCAATTAATACAACCACCATTGTAATAGCATTTAGTGAGCATATATTATGTGTCACTCTGTTCTAAAGCACGTTATAGTAATAAACTCATTTAATGCCCACGGCAACCCTACCAAGTTAGTACAAAAGTCTCTCATCTACATTGAATATGTTCCAAGACTCCCAGTGGATGCCTGAAACCATGGATAGTACCGAACTCTCTCTCTATATTTTTCCTGTACATACCTAGGATAGTTTAATTTATAAATTAGGCATTGCAAGAGAGTAATAATAAAATAGAACAATTATCACAATATATTGTAATAAAAGTTATGTGAATGTGGTATGTATCTCTCTCTCAAAATATCTTTTTGTATTGTACTCACTCTACTTATGATGTGTGATGATAAAATGCCTTATTAAGTAGAGAACTTTCACATTTTCATTTTAAGGAAGCACTTTATGGCTTCTCTTTGGCACACCAATTGCCAGCATCTCTACTCTTGTACTTTGGGGCCATTACTAGGTAAAATAAGGGTCACTTGGACACAACCACTGTGATACCACAACAGTCAATCTTATAACCAAGATGGCTACTGAGTGACTAATGGGCAGGTATCCAGTGTAAATGGGCTGGACGAGGGGATGATTCACATCCCACTCGGTACAGACAGGAATGGCACAAGATTTCATCACACTACTCAGAATGGTGCACAGTTTAAAACTTAGAAATTATTTCCGGAATTTTCCATTTAATATTTTCAAACTGTGGTTGACCGTGGGTAACTGAAACCACAGAAATTGAAACCGCGGATGAAAGGGGACTACTGTACTATTATTAAGCTCATTGTAGCAGTTTAGGAAACTGTGGTCTCACTGACAGGAAGCAGCAAAGCTGGAACTCAAACCCGCCCCTCTGACAATGCTCCTAATACTTTGCTATACTCCCGGGGAGCCTCGAAAATGCTACTGTCAGGAATTTGATTATAAAATATATCTGACACAGGAATCTTAATAGCTATGAAAAGACAAAAATTCAATTCGTTTTTAAATTATTCTCAGTGCTCTACATTTTTCTGTTGCCTATTTTCATAAGAAAACAATACGATTCCATGCCACCTTTTCATTAAGGCAAAAGTCCTCTATGTGCTCAGAGTGCCAGGATTATTCCAACAATAGCAGAGACCGTGGAGGAGAGAAACCTGAACTAAAAGGCCTTCTCCTGGCCTTGCTCACTGTTGGCTCGCTTTCTCACAGTAAGGAGGCCTGTGGGAGCCAACACACAGGTACTCTACCAATACTTATTTTGAGAATGAATGGCCTTTGAAATAGTTCATGGCAGAGTAACTTAAAACCAAAGCTCTTCGTTGGCACCTCTAAAGCTATTTAAGAAAAACCTAACATGTACTCAGGACTACTCTGATCATTCTTAGATCTGAACCCAGCGGGATAAAACTGGGACAGAGAACTTACATATGCATGCAACAGAGGATATGTAAGATAGTGTTCATTTCCAAAACAAAAGGGACCAAAATGGATAAACTCATCATCTGTACAGGGGAAGGGAGAGCAATGGGAGAAGCAATAGTTACATTCAAATATTTAAAGGTTAAAGGACTATTAGGTATAAAAAAAAGAAGTTAGACTGGCTCTCTGTATTTCTTAAAAAAGAAATCAAAGGAGAAAAAATATAAGGATCAGGTTTTAGCACAAAACACAGAAGTATTTAACCTGTACAACTATTCAACAATGAAACGGGCTACCCTGACAAGCGGCAGGTTCGCAGTCACCAGAAGTATCTGTTCAACTACAGGCTGAGGAACATATGTTAAGAGACTTATTTTAATAGAGGGGGTTATGGAA